TTGGTTGATAATAGTGCATTTTGTTATTTTGAATAATATACTAGGAGGTCCTAAAAATTGGTAAATGGAACCAATGAAAACTCCCAATGTACGGTTGTGGAAATACAATGCAAAAGTTCATTTTTAATCAAAACGACTAGGCTTCTTCCATTTCTATTTCAAATTATCATGTTTTAGTTTTTTTGACAGCTATTGAGATAAAAATCTCTTCGATGTTTTTATAAGTTTAGATTTTACTGAAATTGTAACCTGAAAATTAACTAATTTATGTTTAAATCCCAAAATATTGAAATAAACAAGAACGTGTTTACTTTAACAGTAGCTGACTCGAAATGTATTGTAAGCGATGTTTAACTCTGTAGTTATATATTACACCTTTCAAATCAAACAAGTGGACATGAGAAACTTGGGGGGTTAGAATCTTTGAAGATGGTCTAAAATTTAACTAAGTATAAAAGGTATTGAATGACAGGCTACATTGAAATAATGTTATACTCAGTAGGTGATGTACAAAGGTGTGAGAAAAGTCAATTCAACCGATGTTACAAATTCTATTTGTTTTAATATAAACGCACCATTTCAGAACACAGAAATATAAAAAAAAAATTTCTCTTTTTAGTATTTGTTGTTGTATTCTTTTTGCTTGATTCATTTTTTAGGTTTGTTTTTTTTTTTTGCCTTGAGCATCTGACTTGACGAGCTTGCGGAAAACTAGCGGTGTTAATAGATTTCCTCAAAAAATCAAATTACTGTATCAATACTCTGCTAAAGTTATAGTTCCAAGATTTGTTATTTTGATGCATTATTTGTTGTCGTTACATTAAAGTTTTTTTTTTTTTCATTTTCATCTCAGTCTGATAATCTCCCTGATAAAACGCGTAACCTCAATATATGCTGAAGCTACTGTTTCAATTAATAGCAATTGAGCAAATTATGACTGCAGTTTGTTCATACATTTCCCTCTCTGTTCTGAACGTCTGGGACATAGTGGAGCAGCGAAAGTTGATAAAACGCTTAGTTAACGAGTTTAAATTACCTAAATACCTCATGGAATATTAATGTCTTGAAATGTCTATCGATTATTCAACTTCAAAAAAATATCTGTCGTAAATGTCAGATGTGGTACCAATGACGTTAAAAATGACCTTAACTGACGTTACCCAACTGTCATTGAAGACCCCACTGCTGTTTCGATAGACTATTCTCATAATTAACCCTTTTCTAAACATGATTTGTGAACTAATTTGGTTAATATGGTTACTCTCAAACTTCATACATTGTAAGGGTATTTTTGATAAGTGCTATATTTAAAGCACATAGCATCTGATTATTGTGAAATGAACACGAACAAATCACTAGCATTATTTGCACTTGCAACAAATCTGTATTTCAAAGGTACAACCGTAAAGCCGTCGTATAATACTTCAATCGACCAGATTTACTTTTTGAAGAAAATTAGTAATAAGCAATATAATTGGTTAAACATCTGCATTTCATCAGAATTTCAATTCCGGATATTTGTCACACATAAATCGACACTGTTCTGGTTTCTAGTCTTGATTTTGCGATGGTATTTGTAGTTATTATCACGCGTATTTCTTGTTTACTTTAAAATTTCTCAAGCTTTGCGATTTATTTATGCTGTTAGGTATTGTTGTTTAGTTGTGTTTGTTGAATTTAATCGTGAAAGTGACAATCATTGTTGGGTGCGCTTGGTTTTCAGGTGTGTTCGATCTGTTGTATATTCAAGTAAAATGACATTTACACAAGTTTGTTAAAACTGGCACCGTCCGAAGCCAAGAAAAGGTGCCCTGAAGTTGGAGTTGACAAATACATTACCTGAAATTTTGTATTTGCTGAAATTTTGAGAGTAGCAACAGATTCTAGAAAAAAAAGTTTTAATAAATGATGCAGAAGTGAGACGTGATGATTTATTTATTTATTTCAATGAACTATGTAATGATACGTGAACTTGTACAACCATATTTAGATATCACAGGCCTTGTTTTAAAAGTAACACATATCAGACCTTTTTAATCAGTAGCACGGCTGAAAAGGAAGCACCAGATATGAAGCCAGATTTATCCAATTCTTTATTGGTTGAAAGTAATGTTGACCCAGGATCTCGATACCTTAAAGTGTATAATTTGCAAGAAAATGTCTCATAGAAAGTGAAAACATTACATACCATGCTGGAAGATTAACAAATCTAAATGATGTTGCTGTTAGAGCAGGCGATGTTGATATGATATACCGAATAAAACATGAGAATTTGCTCAATAACGAAGTTTATCATGCTGCATGTTTGACCACATGCTTGGCATAAAGACCAAACTACACAAAGAGTGGTTAAAATTATAGACAATGACCTTATTCGTGACAAAAAGACTCTTGTTATTTTATCAATGTTGATAATGTACCAGTCTTTTTTACCAAAGTAGACCTACTGCAATTACTTCAAACTCACGGCTAAACTTAAGAAGCACTTCATGGATGCCATAATGTTCTTTTCTAAACAAGGACATGGTATTTCGAACATTTGATATGCAAGCGTCATTTCTATTGGCGACGCCTTTAAAGCCGCGAATAACATCAAAGCAAAATCGAAAATTAGTTAAAAGCCGACAGACGGTAATGTTATCAGCTGTCCGACTTCACATTGTAACCATGAAGAGACAGATACCACAATGATTGTCCATGCTTTGTTTGGTGAAAAAGACGGTAAGGATAGAATAGTTCTCAAATCAGATGAAAATTACAAAATTGAGAAGTATGTGTTCAGACTGGTTCAATTGACAGCTTGAAAGATAACAGACGATTTATCCCAGGTCACGCCACTGTTTCGTCTTTTGACCCAGTTGTCACTGAATTTCTTCCAATCATTCATGCCTCGTGTGAATTTTATTCCACTCCAAGTTTTTATAATATCGGTAAAAGTCGGTATACAACCTCCTTAGGACGAAAGCAAGCCACTTTAGTAATCTTGTAGCATTAGCACACGGTGATGTTGATAGTGCTATATATGATGCTATGATGTTTGTTACTGCGTTATACGACTTAAAATACAAGTTCAATAAATCGCACAACATTTATATATATATATAAAGATAAAAGTGTAATAAAGCTTCCGCCATGTGCATTAGTGTTTAAGCAACATGTACTTCATTTGTACTTGCACTATGGCAAAGCAAAGTTTGGGTGTAGAAAAATGTTCCAACCCAAATAATGGCATGCCATGTGAGTTTGATTGGTGGGAAAGCCTGTGCGAGCAGCATACGTTAACAAGGAGCAGCGACTCATTTCTAAAACTATATTACGAGAAAAAACACTCGTAAGTCATGAACATTTCAGTAACTTACGATTTATTTTAGTCGTAAGATTTCTTGGTAAAAGAGTCGTAGTTGGCCTTTTGCAAGGCAAAATGTTTGTCCCTATCTAATATACCCTCATATTCCAAATTTCCCCAAACTTCATCCTGGACTTCTTCTGTTACAGGACCTATCTATTGTTTTTATTGTTAATGTGTTCTTGTCTTGAGCATGTGAAATATTTGCCACTCGACGTTAAGCAACCAACAATCAATCAATCAATCTTTTTTGCACGAATTGTTTTTCTAAATGTAGCTAATTGTAACAATGTCCAGGCCGTATCAGCCGCAAGGCTGATGACACAGATGACACATCATGAACATTGTTTCTTGAAATATTTTCTAACTAAATTGGGGTGTTCCTCGTTCATGTCGTATGTGAATTTTAACTTTCTATAATGTTTTCGATGTTTCATTTTTTATATGAAAACGGTCATGTCTTACTTTTTTAATTTGTCATAAAACCCACTTGCATTCATTTCAGTACCTTCGAATGAAAGTTGATCGTAGTTGTCACTTCAATTCCTCATGCTTCTTGTATCATCTGAAAATTTTTCGTATATTGAGACTAACAAACGGGATTGTTTTCAAGAAAACTCAGTGAATCGACATGAATCCTGGAAAACCGAGACAAAATCTAACCTGCAAATGTTGTTGGATTTTATGAACAATGTCATTCGGATACTCTATTAATACCTATTATTCTCAAATGTATTTATATCTTGGCCAGAAATGCTATTTATCGAGGTCGAAGACCAAGGTTATTCTGTTGTAGTTATTTATTAGGCTTTTCAATTTCTATCAAACGTGTTACCTTCGAAAAAGTTAAATAACACGTTATTCTGGCGTCATGTGCAAATATGAAACACATCTAAGTCGAAAATTAAGCATTGATAAATAATTATACTTGTATGATTTATTGAATGGATTATTGATTTTGAAAATAATCTGCAGTTTCTTTCTCTAGATGAAAATATGATATTTTTTTTAAGTGATGACCTTTGACCTTGATTCAAGGCATGATGGCACCAGCTTTCATATTTACAACACATATTTTCAAAAAGAACACGATTAAAGCTTTCCAGTGAGCTATTCTAATGCTATGAGGTGTTTAAGTTTCTAAAATTGTCCTCACCGCCGCTAAACTAACATAATGTATGTCCCATGCAGTTTGTGCATAGTCCGAAGAACGGATTTCTGTAAAGATCTTCTAAATGTAAGTTCCAGTATACACAACGCCGTTATTAATAGAATGCCTGGAGTTCCAATCACAACTCCTTGTCCTGAACATACAAAACAACGTAACTTGACCGTATAGCTGTACGTTCAACCAGGAGTCAATTAATGAAATTTTAAATAAACTTTAATTAAGTTGTTACAGGTGAATTGTCCTCGATTTGCAAAAAAGTATCCATGTCTATTCTTTTATATCAGTGTATATTTGCAATGTTGCCATATAAATAACTTTAACAGTACTTTACATATTGGATATTTAATAACATTGCACACTTGTTTGACAAGACTTATGTTACATTCCGATAAAAGATCTGGGAGAATCCAATCCTTTCGTACTCTATAGTTGTTATTCATAGTTAAAAAATTCGGTTAACAATTATTGTTAAGGTTATGCCATTCTTGTTATATAATTTAATTTCGTTTTACCTGAGTAGTCATTTGTACATCAACTAGGTTTTCTAAAAATTATTTTGAAATAAGGAAAAGGCTAGAGAATCCCAAAGAGTACCTTCGTTTTGAAAAATAACAGTGTGGGTCATAACCATGAATCGGTATTAAAAAAATCCGTTGATTTTCATGTTCTGTGATTTTTTTTTTAATTGGATAAACTTTTATCATTTTGGATACTAGTGTTACCTGCTTTTGGGATATAAGTAAATTTTCGAAACGGATTAATTTATAATCAATTCAATTTAGGTAAGTTTATTTTCAAGTTTTAATTACACATGGACACTTTTGTAAAATATGAAAATACACGAGGCCAGTCTGATCTCCCCAAAAATTAAAAAAACTTTGAATCAAATTAAAATTTACACTGAAGCAAGCATGATAAATATTTGAAATAAAGATTAGTGCACTTGTTTATAGAGGATATTTGGAAACTGAACAGCGAATTATTAAAAACGCATTTTTTTTTTTATTTTAATTTGAAAAGGCGCTTGCATGATATCAAAACAATATTTGAAAAATAGAGATGACTATCTGAAAAATGTGGTTGCTGCGTATGCAAGAATGAGAATGAAAAAATGACGTGTTACAATTTACATACATTTGCACTGTTAAGTAAATATTTTGCAACCCTACGCATAAACTCTCTTTTACATTGAATTATTAATTTTAGCTTAACACGTTAACAAAAAGCTTCTGCAAACACATAGTTATATAGGTCTTTAACTATAAAATAACATTATGGATTATAAGTTGTATTCGTATGTACTATTATAACTTCCTCACTTAAGGAAGAAATTGAAAATCATTCTAAGTACCAATTAAACATTTAAAGCATATGGATTTTAAATACTATTATGCTTTTATATAATATGTTATTATATTAAAGGTGTTTAAAAAAAATACCAATGCGTTGAAACGTGTGACTACTAGACTGAAAGCAATATGGACGAGATACGCGTAATTAAAAAAAAATAATTTAACACGTCCATCAATAGATAATCCTTTTTCATTGAAATCCTAAATGCTAGCTAATTCCTATTAATAAGGGTTATTGTTTAATCAAACATAAGGGGATTGATCACAAACAGTAGCTTCATTAAATATTTTGAAACAAATCGTGACTGGAAAGGTCTTAATGGCGTAATGAACTTAATTGAGGCTATTTCAAACATGTCTTGACCTAGTATGATATTTTTTTTTAATTTTAATGAAGATCAAAATAATATATTAGTCTTTCCCATTATTAATTATCAGTTATATAAACTATTCAACAGATAAAATATACACATAAGTATACTTTTGCAGTGTTAATCAAATTATAGAGTCAATTTGTGATAAATTATGTTAAACTAATTGCAAACTATGCTTTTTGCGATATTTCCAGTGAAACTGGACATTGGCTAATTCAAATTATTCTAAATGTTAGCATTATTATCTGTCAGCACATTTTTTCAACAGAATCATAACTGACCATTTTCCTATTTCATAGCGACTTTAATAACTCAATATTATATGCTTCACTTCAATAATGATGAGCGTCACTTAATTTGTTTATGCAAAACTTTTAAATTGTACGATATCACATTAAAATCTTAAAATGAATTGTGATCAGTTTCAGTGAATGACTGCTTGGCATATAAAATGGTTATGGCTGATTATTCTTTCCGAACTTAACTGCATTTCACGCAGCAAGTTGTGAACTGATCTAAAACTAATAGTATGGTTGAATGATTATTTAAGGTGTTGTAGGGTTGGGTGTTAATAAAGCAACTACTTTTTGTTTACCACTTGTGATATTTCCTTCTAGCATTAAACCAAAGAAGTTTCAAATGAAAATTTGAAGTGAACAGGTCTGTCACTAAAATTACTTTTAAAATTCACATTAGAAATCACCTGTGATATCTAAGAAACATGCAACAGAATTTAACGAACAAAGGTCCAATTCAAAAATCGTCAATAGTTTACTGAATGAAAAGGTCTATAGAAACGTCCATGAGAAACCAACATGCCAGGACAACAATAAGTCAATTTAAATAAACGACATACAGTTTAAATAACCTCTTAAAAGCGTATCAATCCCTTTTAATTTTGTATTGGAGTTTTACTTTATGATAATAGTTTTATAATTATGTAAATAACAAAAGAGTAACCGTGTAGGCACATAAATTTGACCACGGGTTTCATTCTTGACGGTTCTAATTAATGATTTATATGAATGATATCATCAATACACGTCTAATACAAACAACACGTAAACACATTACATGTGGCGTTTCTCTCTCTAAGATATGGTAATCTTTGTTAACATTGTTGTATCCAAATATTAACATTCGCCACCATGTGGATCTCGGCCCCTCTATTGTCAGACACGTTATACGGAAAAGACATTTCAGTCGATGAAATCTCTGTGTGATGTTCAACTTTTGAATTATTATTGTTTCCGTATTTTAAACTGATTTTTATTGTAATATTATGTGTTGAAGAGACCAACAAGAGATTTACAAGAACGTAGGTATAAACTGTGATTAAGGACGACTCGAGTGTAAACTAATTTGTTGACACTGAAATTGGACTTTTAAAAGAACTTTTATCGGACATAAAAGATCGAGATTGTTTACCGGACAAAGGGTCTGACATGATAGCTATGTCATCCGGACTGCGTTATTTTTTGTCAATCGTGTCCGACGATTTTCAACAACTTTGCTTTCGTCACGTGTCCAATGTCTTGACCTTTTAAGTTTGCCGTCCAACTGTTAATAGATTTGACAGGGCCAGCTATTTAATAAACCTACATGTAGGAAGGAAAGAATATTGAAGTTCTCGCGTTGAGTGATCAATGTATGGGTGCCATATATTACAAGGACGTTACTTCTGAGGCTGCAATAACGCATATAGTGTTATTAATCCTTGAAATTTACTTTTCGTCTTTCAGTTAAAATTACCGCAAAACAATATTTATGCGCCTCTTGCCATTTGACAAATATAAACGACGTGTAAATAGAAAGTTACGGCGATAAAATATTTCATACAATTGTTTTTTAACATCCTTATCAGAAGCACAGAAAATATAAATCAATGTAAGACTTTCCAGTGAGCGCTATTTCTTATGTGCAACGTCATTTATTTTTGGTTGTTCGACGATCATATAAGGTAATTCCAAACATATGCTTTGTTTTCCAGAATTGAAAGCATAAAAAATACCTACCAGCACTCTAGATAAAGCCAATGGCCCCTATTTCATTATTCCTGCGGAAAAAAGGAAATCTGGAGCGCCAGCATAGGGTAGCTTAACTGCCCAACAAATACTAGCCATCTATTCAAACGTCTTAACATATGTTTTTGCCGGTGCATGAAACATGCGCGGATTTGCATTACGTTTGTGCGAAAAAAATATTACATTTGCGCGAGAGATGTCACTACGTTTGCGGTCATTTAAAAAAAGTAATTTACAGGTAAATATGACATATTACAAGCTGTTCTGTTCAGTTTAAAATATATAATACGACTTACCAGTGATAATATTTTCTATCGCGCTAATGTAATGGCCGTATATTCCCAAGTTCTCGCAAATGTAATGCGCCCAAGTGTTCTCGAAATATGTTTTTCCGTGATGGTCCTTGAAGAAAATCTGCTGGTTCTAAATATTATTTGTATTGAAAAGTTAAATTTTAGTGGTCAAAACCTTTGGACAAACACATTTCAAGAACTTTGACGCCCGTCTTTTGCATCTTTAAACATGTCAGAAAAAGAAATTATTATTAAGAAATATCATGGAACATCAATAGTAAATTTTATATTTTTTTCCTACCACGGATCATTTTTAAAATTAGATAAGTTGTAAAGGAAAAACATAAATTTTCAAAACGTAAGGGACTCAAGGGCCACGTTTACATATGAAAAGGGGATTTTTTCGAAATTTGTGCACTTTCCAGTAAATTTCCTATGTTACAATGCTTATGTTACAACGTCGTCAATTGGTCGGGGGCACAACCGGTGTAACTCATTCATAAAAACAACTTGAGATTGGTATACAAAGATAAAACTTTTAAACTTTTTGAAAGAGGGAAGAAAGATACCAGAGGGACAGTCAAACTCATAGATCGAAAACTGACAACGCAAAGGCAAAAAATAAAAAGACAAACAGACAAATAATAGTACAGATGACACAACATAGAAAACTAAAGACAAAGCAACACGAACCCCACCAAAAACTGGGGGTGATCTCAGGTGCTCCATAAGGGTAAGCAGATCCTGCTCCACATGTGGCACCCGTCGTGTTGCTTATGTTATTACAAATCCGGTAAATAGTCTAATTCGGTGGGTCACATTCGTGAAAAGGGAAGGGTATTGTAGTTACGACATAAGGAACATATCCGATATCATCTGTGAAACGGTTATTCCATAACGGTCAACCAACTCGTGATGGCGTCCGTAAAATTTACGAAGGGATGATTTCAACTTCACCATTTGAAACTCTTGGTTTAATAGCTTCCTTGTGAGCAGCAATCCTCTATCAAGGAAATTATGATAGGAAATACAAGCCCGGGAATATCGTATCAAATGGGAGATATATACTCCGTATGCAGGCGCTGCTGGAATGTTGCTACATAGAAATGGAAAGTTCACAATTGGGAAGCTGAAATCATCTCTTTTGTCGTAAAGTTTTGTTTTCAACCGACCCTCATTGTCAATTTCTAGATGTAAGTCAAGATATGAGACAGACTTAACTGTATCCGTAGTATCCTTTATCTCTAGTTCGATGGGATAGTTTCGTTCAACATAGTCACCAAATTTTGTATTATTTAGTGAGAGAACATCATCTATATAGCGGAACGTAAAGTTAAAGGACATTGCTAACTTCTTATCTTTCTTCCTGAGAAGTTCCTGTATGAAGTCAGCCTCATAATAATAAAGAAACAAGTCGGCAAGAAGAGGGGCACAAGTGGTTCCCATAGAAATTCCTTGACCTGACACCTGATTTTGCAAATAAAAAAATTACAAACCATTTAAAACAAATTTAATATTTTTTCCATATAAAACAATGTAAAATTTATCCATCCGATCTGGGACTGTTACACTAATATAAAAGTCCTAGGTCCGATAGTGCTCCTTTGTCACTTGGTGACTGATAATAGGGTCTGGATGGGGACTCCTTCATTTTTGTATTCTTTAATTTTGTAGGTCATTTTTCTCTATTTTTTATACTTTTTGTCCTTTATTCTCTATTCTTTATATTTTAGCACCTC